AGGTAAAAAGTGAGAAAAATAAATATTTAATAGACATTTATTTTAAGAAATATTTTTTTAATTATTTTAATTTTTATATATTTTGAATATAATTAATTATATTATATAAAATTATGAAATCTATAAAATTATGGGACCTAGGGCAAGAGCTTTGGTGGCTTTATGCTAAAGCCAGCCCTGTTGAGGACCCTTTAGCAAAAACAGATAACCAATTATTTAGGCGGAGAAAAACAGATTTAAGTGCACATGACTTGCTCAATGTGGATTCAGATAGAACAAAATCAGGTGTGGATAAAGCATCTATGTTTTCAGCCTGATGGTGATATGTATGCACTGCTTTACTTGAATATTTGTGCTATGATGTATGATAGTCCTCTTCTGAGGTGATCCTGTGTATGCTTATGTGTAGGGGTCTGTAACCTAAAACGATAAGGTACTACACGTGATTTTGGAGGTACTCTCCACCCATGGGACCCCATGGGCTTCCCATGTACTGTCCTGAAATGTTATTAGTAAAACTCTTTTGATTGGCTGAGAAAAAAAAAGAGTACCCTCTTTTCGTATACAAATGAACTTTCTAAGGAAGCTTCGTTCCGAATACTAGTGGGAATGGTCTTTGGTACAATGTTTGAAAGAAGATCTGTCATCTGATGAGCTTGTTAAACCCTGTTTAGGTCCCTTGATATAGGCCAAACATAGCCTATAAGAAACAAGTTGCCATTGCTTTAAGAGTTACTAAAAGTCTAATCGAAATTAACAGTAAAAAATTTAACTACTATATACACTAGTGTTCACGTTTGTGTATGGACCTACGTATCTGCACTTTTTAGTTAATACCAATCACTAAATTCGAGTAAATAAAGAAGGATTTGTCTTTTATGAAGATATCAAGCTATATTAGGCGCAAAGGGGCTATTGCAATTTGTATAGTTTAAGCCAAAACCTTCTGTTTTTCTAAGGTCTTATAAGGGTTCCATGGCTTGCTATTACTTGTTAGTCCTGCTTATCCTTACTGTTTCTGGTGCATCTGTGGAAGCTCATGGCAAACTCTCATCAAAATACTACAGCTCCACTTGCCCTGAAGTATTGGCTATTGTTGAAGCACGAGTAAGAGCTGCCATAAAGAAGGAAGCTCGCATGGGGGCATCTTTGCTCCGGTTGCATTTCCATGACTGCTTTGTTAATGTGAGTGTGGTTTCACTTTCATAAGTTTGGTTTTGTTCTAGGCTCGTGCTGTTTTAATCAATTAATAGTGAATTTGGACAATGAAAATTGGGCAGGGCTGCGATGGATCGATACTATTGGATGATAATGCCAACTTTATAGGGGAGAAGACTGCAGCACCTAACAATAAATCGGTCAGGGGATTTGATGTGGTTGATGACATTAAATCTAAAGTAGAGAAAGCATGCCCTGGAGTGGTATCCTGTGCTGATATTCTTGCCATTGCAGCTCGCGATTCGACTGTCATGGTCAGTACAACAATTAAGTCTTATCTAAAAAAGCACAAAACTTATCGGCAAGTTACTGATCCTTGTTCCAGTCTAGGCAGTTGGCTCAGTTGGGTTGCAGTTGTTTCATCATTTATATTAATGTCTTTTTATCATTTGCAGTTAGGCGGTCCTTCATGGAAAGTTAAGTTAGGGAGAAGGGATTCTACCACTGCTAGCAGGGCTGCTGCAAACAACTCAATTCCTGCACCCACTTTCAATATAAGTCGTCTCCTATCGAGCTTCGCTGCTCAAGGACTCTCATTAAAAGACTTGGTGGCTCTTTCAGGTAATGAGACTCTAAGTTGGCATATACTGTATTTAATAAACAATACAAACATGATGACTACATTCTCTTAATTGTGTACCAAGGGGATGTTGACAGAAAACCAAATGACCTATCCTTTTCTTTAATCAATCATGTAATTTAGAGCATACCACTTAAAAGAAATTAATAGCTCATCTTTGAATGGCAGGTTCACACACTATTGGCCTGGCCAGGTGCACATCATTTCGGACACACATCTACAATGACTCGAACATTGATGCCTCATTCGCCAAGTCCTTGCAACGCAAGTGCCCGAAAACTGGAAAGGATAATGTGCATCAACCCCTTGATTTTCAAACTCCAACTAGTTTTGATAACCTGTACTTCCACAACTTGTTGAAGATGAAGGGTCTCCTCCGTTCTGACCAGGAGCTGTTTAATGGCTCTTCTGCTGATTGTCTGGTAAAAAGGTATGCCGCAGATACTTTTGCATTTTTCCAGGCCTTTGCTAAATCTATGATCAAAATGGGCAACATCAAGCCCCTCACAGGACGCTCTGGAGAGATCAGGACCAACTGCAGAAAGGTCAATAGAAAGATTCTTGCCTGGAAAATGTAATAAGAAACTACAATACATAAGAAACTACAATATATGATATGTCTAGTAACTGATAGACAAGCTACTTTATGATCAATTGATCATAAACAGTGAAAATATTACCTTCTAGTTTTCCTTATTGCTTAAAGCCTTGAATTATGTGAGTATATATGTTTATGATATCAATAAATTGTGAGGTCGTAAACAAGAGTTTCACCAACAACAGTAATGGGGCAGCCATTCGGCTTTTGACATGTGTGCCAGCAGCGGTTATTACCGATGCCTGCGCCAAGAATCTCTACAGCCTTCCTAAAGGGGTACACGTGTAGGTGCTGAGAATTTACAGCAAAAATCAAAGAAAGGAAAAAAATAACGAGAACACTAAAGTAAAAAAGTAAAATTCTAAATGGTAAAAGGCTGATTAAATGAATCAAGTGTAGTTCCCACATGCTTAGCTTTCGTCTTCATTGAAACTGGCTTGTGGCGTGAACCTTTATTGAAGAATTCTACTACAGCTTCAACACAGGAACAAGAACCAACCTTTCAACACAGTTCCTTAGGTTTTGTCTTGCACACCCTAGTTTAGACCTTAGAAAAATGAATTTTTCCTTGTTTAAGCATTTATTGAAGGTGTCTGCAAGCTGTTCATCAGTACTACAATGCATCACATTTACTTTTTTAACTTTAACAGCATCTGTAATTAAATGAAATTAAACCCTGATATGCTTGGTTTGCTTAAGTTGCAGAGGATTCTTTGCAATTGAAATAGCAAACTGATTGTCTATGAATAATGTAGTTCCCTTTTGAGATGGTATCCCAAATCAGTTAGAATATTGTTTTTTAATTTTTTCTTTTGAATTTCGGACCATTAGCTATCTATTTGAACTTCTTTTTGACAAGTTTAGTAATTTGTTCTTCCTCCATAATATGTGTTTTCGCTTCACCAAAAAGAGCAACTTGTTCTTGTTTCCTACATTCCTCTTCAATTCAAAGATGATTTGCTAAAGCTTTAAGAGTTATTTCCTTTTTCTTGTACTTTAGACTTCTATTAAAGTCTTTCAATGACGGAAGAAGTTTGTTTATAATGAAGGAAGAAGTTTGTTTATAATGAAGGACACAAGTATAGTTTCATTTATTTTCATCTTATATATATTGCTTAAATTGATTGAGCATTTTTCAATTTCACGTAGTTGTTCAATAACAGAACTTCTATCAACCATTTGATAATGATTAAAGTGATTGATAATAAATTTCTAACTTGTTACATCTTCTGTCATGCACCTGGCATTTAGTTTGTCCCATAATTTTTTTACAGTAGCCTCATTCTAATATGTATCAAATCAACCAAACCATTCAAAATGTGACCCTTGCACATATAATATGCATTGTCCCATTTCTACCTCTCTCTAGTTGTAGCAACAGATTCATTTCCATTCTCTTCTGGTCTTGTTGTTGTCAGCACATACACAACGTTCAATGTTGAAAGTAGGAAATACATCTTTTTCTCTATTCTTAGAAAGTTACCACCATCAAATTGGTGTAATTTCACAAAGTCATAAGTCAATTCTCTTAGTATTCCACTTGCAGCAATCATTGTTAAAATAGAACAAAACCTTAAGATTATCAGAATGTCGAACTGAAAAATATGAAAATGACTTCAAGGCGTGTAACGATGTCTATGTCTTTAAAGTTTTAGTTACCCCCACTAATTATGTGCAAAAGAGTTGTAAGCGATAAACCCTGAGGATACAATGAAGCTTGGTGATTGACTGTGTTTTGATTTAATGAAATCAATTCACTGAATATCCACTAAAAATATATGGCAAGATTACCTAGACTTCTATATTATTTTCTATAGTAAAACAATAGAGTATAAAGTCTCAAAAATATTAAAAAGGAAGGAGAAATTATTGTTTTTTGTTCTGTGTTTTTTTGTTCCAGACGAGAGTTTTATTTATAGGCAATTGTGATAGCTTTCAATAGACACAATTGTGTCTGTTTCAGATAGGTATTGTTTGTTTCTATCTATTTATAATAGAAGTGTTTTGTCTTGTTGCCAACAGTTATTATTTTTTGACAAAATTATAAAAATTATTTTGTTTATGGATCAAATGTCACGGATCTCACATCAATAAAAAATGAAGTGGATCTTAAATATATAAACATAAACTTTTCACCATGTTGAAAGCGTGGGTTGGCTATTTATAAGCTTATTTAAACTTTATTTTCAGAGTTTAAAATTACATGAGGTTGAGCTTAAGTTTTGACATGTGACATCAAGTGCCATTATAATTAATTTCAATGCCATTATAATTAATTTCAAAACCAACTAGGCCTAAAAAGCCCATCCATAATCCATTGCTTGTTAAAATCTAATTATAATGTGCTTATATTCCATTTTATTTAAATGACTTTTTTTTTCTAATTCTCCAATATAAAGTTGTATCTCATATTCATTATTGTTGTAGTACAACAGCAAAAACTTGCACAGTATCCAGCAATTTGGTCAACAAACAAATTTGACAAAGAGTTCCTCAACAACATGATATCAATAATTCACAATTGCAAAGGAATCAAGCCTGGGCGTTGATGCGATGCCAGTGTCGGCAGAGTATGGTTTGCATGAAATACAATTTTGCTAAACATAGAAATATAAACTGTCAAATACAATTAACACTACTGTAAACTAGACTTTCCAAAAGGGAAGTCTACAAGTGGGTGCACTAGACTATGATGGGGTATACTATCAAGCATCTGATACAGCTGGGAAAGGTGGTTATTACACAAAAATTTGTCGGTGAACTATATACAGAGGATATTACAGGGTCAGATCACCTTAATCACATTATCCTAAATGGCTTGGTTATATACTTCTCCATCTATTCCAACTCTTCATCTGATGCCACCTCCTTTTCCAGTTCTAATGCATCAACCTCTGCTCTGCTTGTCAATGGAATCTTGGGGAAAGTCATGCTTGGAAGCATTTACCTCAGCCTTCTCTATTCGTTGCTTCTGCAGTGACAGACCACCAACAAGCTTGGCTGAATCACATTATCTTTAAGAGTGCATAGGCTTAAGGACAAGAAAGCTTCAAAAAGACAAAAGCACGATATGACTTAATGCAAAAGCAAACAGCACTATGGAATAACTCATACTAATGACAAAACTAAAGCAAAAAAGCAATTTGTAGATAAAGAAGTGTATTATATTGCTGTGTGCTTCCTAAAAGCATGCTTCATGCAGTTTCTATGGCAAATTCCATTCGATGGCTGTGTGCGAAAAGCAAGATGGTCCAAAAAGGCCATAGAATACTGGCCCAATTCCAGCAGAAAAAAGATGACTAGTTAACATTGCAATGACACTGATAAACATTCCTGAGACGATAACGCTTCAACAACTAAAAGAATTTGTCATCTTAGAATGAAGTTGATTCCATGAAAGCGAAAAGGGGAATACTCCATTGATGCAGCATTTATTGATAACGAGTTAAAAAGGCAAAGAACAATCATTTAAAGAAAAGGAGAAACAGCATCAATAAAGGTGGTAAACAAGGGACAATAATGAATGGGGAGATCATTGTAATCTGACCAAACATTAAGCAAAAGGAACTTCTGAATTACTGACAACAAAGATGAAAACAGAAGTACAAGTAAACATCCCTGTTGCTTTAGCTGCTGCAGCAGGCTCCAGGTTTTGGACAAGCGGGTAGAGAGTCTCTCCCCCGGCATGTTTCTCACCTGATCTGGTGTTGCATTCGCAAGTGCCAAGCCCAAGGCCCTTGTTGAAATTGACCCACCACGCCTTGCCATGCCTCCTCCACCGCCAGCCTGATCAGTTTTCTGTAATATTTTTCCTGCTTGCAAACATTCATTCAAGACTTGTTCAAGAATAAAAATTTGTACTTAAATTCACTAATCGATAACTAAGAGGCTAATAATAATTGATAATGATTATGTTGGGAGGACAAGCCTAAGACTCAGTTTTAGTTATCAGAAACACAATTTTTTACCTCAACCAAACACAAATTTCCATCATGTTTTCCTAATAATTAAAACAACATATCTTAAATCAACTAAATGAACAGGTGTTGATTGAGTTTGCACTGAATGGGCATGGAAATTGGTTTACCTTATACTCAATAATTAAAAGAATTGTGTGGATACTAACTCAGATACCCCACTAAGCCAACATAAGGATAAAAAATCTTCTATTTGCATGTGATGCTTGGGGAACAAACTTTATGAGCTCCATTATATCTTAATTCTTTGAATAGTCAAGTTTCAAGTCCTACATATTTTCAACCAGAATTAATGGTTTGGCCTCTACCAGTTTGAACTTCCATTACTCCTTTAACAGAAAACTAGAAAGCTTTCTTATCACAATCTTTAGACAAAAATGACATTAATGAGATTTGAATGCGATTTGGAGACTTAAGGTTTCAATTAACAACGGTGTCTATATAGACAAGATTATTGTTAAAGTCGTGATCAATACAAATTTAGAACTCTTGAAAGAAAACATAATTGATATACTTATGTGATTATATACCCAACCTTTATTTTTTATATTAATGATTAAACTAAACATCGATGTCAATTGGCAAATAGAATCAAGGAAATGTTTATTGGTCATAAAACTGTTGACATTTAATATTTTCTTCAAAGAATAATAAAGCTGTGAAAATGGAGCGATGAACTAGAGAAAACAAGAGAAAAAATTTAGAGGAGAAGACCAAATTTCATAACCACTTGTTGGACATTTTCAAATAAAAGATATAATTTCATATCAAAAATAGAAGAAAAATTGTGACGGTTGAAAATTAAAACCAAAAGAAGGGTTATGTTTATTGAAAATAAAAATAAATAAAATAAATATAAAAAAAGAGTCACATCTTTTAGAAAAGACCACCAGGAGTAACTCTTTTGAAACAGACACAAACAGTGTCTATTGAGAATAGACATCTATGCCTATAAAAGAGGATCTTCTTTATCCAACGTACATCAGAAAACTGTAATATCTCTCTTTCTTCTTCCTCATACATCTTCGAAGTTTTTTTCTATACTATTTTCTTATAAAAAAGTATTATAGAAGTTTGATAATCTTGTTATTCTCCAATGAGTGCTCAGTGGATTGATTTCGTCAATGCAAAATGCCATCAATCACTGGGCTTAATTATATCTTTGAGATTTATATACCGGTAACTCTTCTACACACTATAAGTGATGACGAATAAAACCTTAAAAACAGTAGCATTGATACACGCCTTGAAACCAATTTCTAAGTTTTTCAATTTGGTATTCTAACAATCTTAAGGTTTTATTTTCATTCCAACAATGGCTGCTGCAAGTGGAACACTATGAGAATTGGCTTCTAACTTTCTAAAATTAGATGGATTTGATGGTGGTAACTTTCTAGGATGGCAGAAGAAGATGCATTTCCTATTATCAACCTTGAAAGTTGTCTATGTTTTGATAACACCTAGACTAGAAGAAATAGAAAATGAGTCTGTTGCTACAACAAGAGAGAAAGGCAAAAATGGGACAATGCCGATTATATGTACAAAGGTCACATCTTGAATGGTTTGGCTGATGGCTTATTCGACACATACAAGAACAAGGCTATTGCAAAAGAATTATGAGACAAATTGGAAACCAGGTACATGACAGAAGATGCAACAAGTAAGAAATTTCTTGTTAGTCACTTTATTAATTATCAAATGGTCGATGAGCATTTTGTTATAGAACAATTATGGAAAATTCAAAAAATGCTTAATCAATTTAAATAATATAAAATAAAAATGGATGAAACTATACTTGTATCCTCTATTATAGACAAATTTCCTACATCATAGAAAGACTTTAAATGAAGTCTGAAAGATAAAAAGGAAGAAATAACTCTTGAGGCTTTGGCAAATCATCTTCGAATTGAAGATGAATACAGGAAATAAGTACAAGTTCTTGTTTTTGGTGAAGCCAAAATACATGTTATGGAGGAAGGACAGACCACTAAACCTATCAAAAAAAAGTTCAAACAGATTTCTAATAGTCTGAAATTCAAAAGAAAGAACAAAAGCACATGCTTCCATTGTGGAAAACTAGGACATTTCAAAAGGGAATGTCAATTGTTGAAGAAGAAAATTACTTCTTCAAATGGTGCTGCTTTTGAAAATTTTGTAGCTATGATTTCTGAAATCAAAAAGTTTGTGATTGCACTTTAGTGATCAACAATTGCACTGCATTCTTTTGTAACACTTTTGGATATTTAACAGCCTTTTTCTTTCCCTCATTTTCTATGGATTTATCTAGTTCTTTCTCAACTAGCACTTGTTTGTAAGTACGATTCTACCTCCTAGACTTGACTACATGCCTTGACTACATGCCTCTGGCCGTCATCCACAATGATTTGGTTTTAGCTATCCGTTTTCTTCACATTAACTATTTTCCTTGCCAGTAACAGACCATCACCTTTAACAATAGGCATATACATTTCTCCTTCAGATCTATATGTCACAAAACCACAATTAGATCTTTTCTTCCAACCTCTGTTCGGAACGAAGACATCCGCAATAACCTCAAACTGGTCAAAAGCTTCTTTTATGTCTACCCATGATGTACCTATCAGAATATTACCTATAAACACTGAACAAAGACTGTCTCCACCTTTGCAACTTAGAATTCCCATGAAACCTTGAGCCCTAAAAACCTTGCCGTCCATTACTCACTGTTGATCCATCTCCTCCATTCCTACTAGCAAAAATCTCTCTTTATTTCTCTCACCTTTTCTCTTATCATTGTTTTTACAAAGTTCCAGTTTTGTGTTCTAGCTAACATAATATTATCAAATTTTTACTTGTTTAGCACTCAAACATTAATTTGGCTTGGTAGTTGATGCATTATTCCATGTTTAAAGATGAAGGTTTGAATAGCTTTTTTCCCAAATTGGAAACAAAATTACTTGTTTAATTCTATTTTTTCGTTCTTCTCTATCTGACTCAGTCATAGCCACCCTTGTTCTTCTCTGTTTTTTCCTAAAAACTTGTCGTTGATTTCTCATGCAAGTACATGTATCCTTAACAAGTAATATAGTAGAAAGTAGAATTCATTTCCATAGAGAATTGAATTAATTCTTAATGTTAACTATTAAAATTAACACACTTTAATCTTATTCAAACAAACTAATTGTTAATAAGAAAAATTAAAACTAATAATTAAAACTAATTTAAAATCTATAAGCAAAATTACTTTGTTAAATTCGATTGACTACCAGACCTAAGATTATATTATCTCTCTATATTTTATCTGATTATTTTTTTTTCTCTTTAACTTAGTTTAATAGATTAAGTTGTTAACATATAGTCCTAATTTATTTACAAGTCTCTGTCAAGTTTCTCATAAAAATATCTTTCCTAATTAACTTACTATATACTTATGCAAATTAAATTGAAGAAAGATTTATTAAGTTCGTGCTCTAATTTTGGCTACGTATAGCTTCTAGGTGTATATCTACCCTATGTACAAATCAAACTACTTAATCAACTAAGTATATTTTGAATGTATAAATCAAACCACTTAATCAACTAAGTATATTGAAGAACAACTAAAAAAAGAGAGTTTTAAATCCAAGAAAACAAAAAAAAAACACCAAAAAACTTTCCATACAGTCCGTCAGGATGATCCATAGATGCTTTGATATCATGTTGACATTTAATATTTTCTTCTAAGAATAATAAAGCTGTAAAAATGGAGGGATGAACCAGAGAAAACAAGAGCAAAAATAAAAAAAAAAAATTAAGGAAGAAGACTAAATTTCATAACGGTAATATGCCAATTTACAAAGACAAAACGACATCGTAGTGCATAGAAAACTACCAAAATTTGTGTTGGTCTCCCATGCTCAACAAACCAGTGGCTCAAAGCCATAATGGCATTCACAATGTCAATGCCCAAAAAGAAAAAAGTGGCATTCACCCAAAAGACACGTGACAGGCACATGCCTTGCCACTTTACCAAATGGGTCTCCTCCTCAACATAAACATCATTGGATTAGTGACCCAATAGTTGTATAAACGAGAAACGAGTGCATGCTTTTATCAAAGAAAAAGTGGGGCAAAACAAGAAAATTTGTAGCATCACCATCCAGTTTTGCTTCTGGTCCAAGGAGTAGGTAAACTGTCATAAACCCTTGATGTTGACAGAAGGGTCCGGGGTTCTCCCTTTTGGGTGCATAATGTATCAGTTTGGGTTCCAGTTGTTTGCTGGTAGGGGCGGAGCATCCCATTGTGATCGGGCCGTCGTTTTTTCCAAATTTTTAAAATTTTTTAAATATTATATATATTTTTTAATGATTTTTTTTTCAAATAATATTTTATTAAACCCTAAATACAACTAAAAAATAATAAAATGATTTAATGATGAGAGCTACAATCTTTTAAAAATTTTTAATTTTTTTATTCACTGTATATATTCTTTCAACCATTTGATGAAATTAGAGAAATGTTAGCTTATTGCTAATTATTATATAAATTCTAACCTAATATGCTAAACTAATCAAATTTAAAAAAATAAAAGTTAGTCTAATAACTCAGATTCATTAAATCGTAATATAAATTTAAATTTTTTATAACATATTCTATATCAATAATTTATCATAACATATTATATGTTAATTAACTCTTTTTATAACATACACTTTTTCTATTTAGTCCCCTTTGAAAATATATACTCTAACTCCACCCTTGTTTGCTGGCCTCATTTCCCTTTAATCTAACAAATTGTCATGTACTCAAAAAAGAGAACAAAGAGTAGGGGCTGCATTTTCATGCTTTCCTCTACGTGTATGTTACCCTTAGATAAAGCCACAAACAATGTTCATGAAATGAAAAGGATTTTCCCACAATGAAATGTCAACAGCAAGGGCTGTGTGTAGCCTGGAAGGATGGATATGGACATGGAATTTTGAAGTGGCATTGATCTCAATCTCACACGTTGCTTCTGCATGTGCAGCCATTGCTTTCTTTGGGGGGCCTTAACAGTAGTAGTGAAAATAAACGTGACTGATATTATCAATATTCCAATTTTTAAGAAAAAGTGTAGACTCCTGTACATTTCACCTAATAATTTTTAATTATAAGTTGTATTTTAATTTATCAAATAAACGTCTATTGTAATATAAATAAAAAATTGAAATGATTTGACTGTAAAACAAGAAAGATATTAAAAATGATTGACATTCAAGCTGCTTCTGTTTATTATTTCTATATCATTTATAATGTTTATCAGTTGTTAAATTGTTCGATTGTTGAACAAAATAACATTATTCATGAAGGGATTCAAAAGGTATAAATAAAGAGAAAATCCTCACTTCGGCGAGTTTAACTCATGTGCTTCAGTTGCTTTCAATCCCAGTAATGCTTCAAAGTAGATCATTTTAAGGTGAACAGTGGTAATACTGCTCATTTATTAGTTAAGCTAAACCCAGCAAAGTTTCTTTGAACAAAAATTGTTCATATTGTTGACCCAACTCAATCTAGCTAGCTCATTTGATAGGAACTCTCTGGCTGCAAGTTTGATTCTTTCCAAGGTTTTGGTTCCACACTGTCTTTGAGTCTTTGTAAGTTTCCCAATTTTGTTTTCCGTTCTTTTCCATATTGGTTTCAAAGGTCAAAAAACGAAGGCAATTATTTAGCTAGTGATGTGAAGTCTTTGCCTCTACTCGACCCTCCATGAATAGGAAGTTTAACCAATGAGTTTCTTTCCATTAAATTATCCTAAAGTGGAAACTTTGAGGACCCTTAAGCAAAAACAAATAACCCATTATTTAGAAGGCAAAAGACAGATTTATGTGCTCTTAACTTGCTCAATATGGATTCCGATCGAACCAAAACTGCTAAAAGTAGCCTCTTTTTGGCATACAAATGAACTTTCTAAGGAAGCTTCGTTCTGAATGCGAGAGGGATTGATCTTTGGTGCAAATCTTCACATCTGATGGGCTTGTTAAACCTTGTTTAGGTCCCTTGATATAGGCCAAAGAGAGCCTATAAGAAACAAGTTGCCATTACTTTTAAGAGTTACTCAAAGTCTAATCGAAGTTTAAGAGTAAAAAATTTAACTGCTATATACGCTAGTTTTCACCTTTGTGTATGGAGCTACATTCTGCACTATTTAGTTAATACCAATCACTAAATTCTGAGTAAATAAAGAAGGATTTGTCCTTTACGAAGATATCGAGGTGCTATTGCAAGTTGTACAGTTTAAGAAGGCAAAACCTTTTGTTTTTCCAAGGTCTCGTAACAGTTCCATGGCTTGTTATTACTTGTTAGTCCTGCTTATCCTTAATGTCTCCGGTACACCTGTGGAAGTTCATGGCAAACTCTCATCAAACTAGTACAGCTCCACTTGCCCTGAAGTATTGTCTATTGTTGAAGCACGAGTAAGAGCTACCGTATAGAAGGAACTCTCATGGCGGCATCTATGCTCAGGTTGCATTTCCGTGACTGCTTTGTTAATGTGAGTATGGTTTCACTTTCATAAGTTTGGTTTTGTTCTAGGCTCGTGCCGTTTTAATCAATTAATAGTGAGTTTGAAAAACGAAAATTGGGCAGGGCTGCAATGGATCGATTCCGTTGGATGATAATGCCACCTTTATACGTGAGAAGAGTAGTGCAGCACCTAACAATAAATCTGTCAGGAGATTTGATGTGGTTGATGACATTAAAGCTAAAGTAGAGAAAGCATGCCCTGGAGTGGTATCCTGTGCTGATATTCTTGCCATTGCAGCTCGTGATTCAACTGTCATGGGAAGTCCAACAATTAAGTCTATCTAACAAAGCACAAACCTTATCAGCAAGTTACTAATTTCTTGTTACAGTCTAGGCAGTTGGCTCGGTTGGGTAGCAGTTGTTTCATCATCTGTATTAATGCCTTGATATGATTCGCAGTTAATGGGGTTCTTCAATGAAAGCTAAGTTAGGAAGAAGGGATTCTAACACTGCTAGCAGGGCCGCTGCAGACAACTCAATTCCTGGACCCAATTTCAATATAAGTGCTCTCGTATCAAGCTTCGCTACTCAAGGACTCTCCTTAAAAGACTTGGTGGCTCTTTCAGGTAATGAGAATCTAAGTTAGCGTATTTAATAAACAATACAAACATGATGGTTACATTCTCTCATTTGTGTACCACAGGGATGTTGTATGTTGACAGAAAACCAGATGACCAATCCTTTTCTTTGATCAATCATGTAATTTAAAACATGCCACCTAAATTAATGGCTCATCTTTGAATGGCAGGTTCACACACTATTGGCCTGGCCAGGTGCACATCATTTCGAACACACATCTATAATGACTCGAACATCGATGCCTCATTGACCATGTCCTTGCAACGCAAATGCCCAAAAAATGGCAAGGATGATGTGTATCAACCCCTTGATTTTGGAACTCCTACTTATTTTGATAATCTGTACTTCAAGAACTTGTTGAAGATGAAGGGTCTCCTCCGTTCTGGCCAGGAGCTCTTTAGTGGCACTTCTGCTGATTTATCTGGTAAAAAAGTATGCTGCATATGATTCTGCATTCTTCAAGGCCTTTGCTATATCTATGATCAAAATGGGCAACATCAAGCCTCTCACAGGAAGCACTGGAGAGATCAGGAGCAACTGCAGAGTAGTCAATTTAATAGTAACTGTTGGAAAAGCTACTTTACGATCAAATGATCATAAACAGTGAAAATATTACGTTTTAGTTTTCCTGATTGCTTAGAGCCTTGAATTATGTGAGTATGATTATGATTACCAAAAAACTGTGAGAAAGTAAACAACAGTTTCACCAACTACAGTGAAGGGGCTGCATCAGTCTTGACGGTGCAATTAAGTTTCTTTTGTTTATGGGTACGAAGGCGCCATGAACTCTGAAGGAACCCCCTGGCTTTGAGCGGAAGCTCTTGAAGGAAAAAACCATCACAACAAACTAAAGGCAATAAACAAAAGCAACTTGCTAACCTACGTTACCTTCTTGTAATCCTTCCACCTTCCCATTTTTCTGCAACATCCAAACCTGCACGCGTTAAACACTATAAAAGGACATGATCAGATTTCCAATCAGTAATAATTGTGCTTTGCAAGTAGCAAGAAATCACCAGACACAAGTGTTTCCGATGGCTTGTTATCATTTACTGTTTCTTATCCTGATCGCTGCTGTCGCTTCATTTCAGGCAAACTGCCAACTCTCCCCTGGTTACTACTCATCCACTTGCCCTCAAGCATTGCCTATTGTTAAGGCAGGAATTGCAGCTGCTATAAAGAATGAAACGCGCGTAGGGGCATCCTTGCTCAGATTACACTTTCATGACTGTTTTGTTAATGTGAGTATAGGTTCTAATTTCTCTGATAATTCATGCTGCTCCTGTGCTGCTACTGAATTAACTGAAGTGAATTTTCATAATGGTCACTAGGGCTGCGATGGATCAGTGTTATTAGATGATAATGCCACATTTATAGGTGAGAAAACTGCAGTTCCTAACAATAACTCTGCTAGAGGATTCAACGTGATTGATGACATCAAGGCTCGAGTGGAGAAAGCATGCCCCGGAGTGGTGTCCTGTGCTGATATTCTTGCTCTAGCAGCTCGTGATTCGGTTGTTCAGGTAAGCGCCACATCATACACCAATCCATATTACCAATCCATCACGGTATATTTTCTTGGGATGATAATTTTCTGGTGTTTGCAGTTGGGGGGTCCCTCATGGAAGGTAAGGTTGGGAAGACGGGATTCTACCACTGCTAGCAGAAGTGCAGCAAATACCTCCATCCCCCCACCAACCTCTAATCTAAGTGCTCTTATTTCAAGCTTTGCTGCTCAGGGTCTCTCCATAAAAGACTTAGTAGCACTTTCTGGTAATCCATTACTCATAGGAATGTCATTTAGACCACGGTTATCATTCATTTTTCTTCTTAACATGTAATGGTTCATTTGCAGGTTCACACACCATTGGCCTGGCCCGGTGCACATCATTTCGACCACACATCTACAATGACTCCAACATAGACCCTTCCTTCGCCAACTCGTTGCGGCGTACTTGCCCAAGAAGTGGAAATGATAGTGTGCTCGCCCCCCTTGATCGTCAAACACCAACCCATTTTGATAACTTATATTACAAGAATCTGTTGAGCAAGACGGGTCTACTTCGTTCAGATCAAGAGCTCTTCAATAGAAGTTCTACTACTAATCTTTTGGTTAAAAGCTATGTTGCCAACACCTCATTATTTTTCCAGGAATTTGTCAAGTCTATGATCAAAATGGGGAACATCAAGCCTCTCACGGGAAGTGCTGGGGAAATCAGGATCAATTGCAGAAAAGCAAACTGAAACTTGTTTCTCATACTTAACAATAAGAAATTACAAAATGTCTAAGAGAGTCTGTATGTTGATCTTTAGATCAACTCTGTCCGTTTAAAATGTTTGGAGTGAGTTTGTTTATGCAATTCAATCTTGTCCCTTGCTTTCACTCTTTTGAATAAATTTGTACTTTTTCATGGAAGGTGACAAAGAAAGAAGAAATTTATGCAAATAATTGAAGTTTGCTTAAAATTAGCTCCAGCAACATTCCTTTAGTCCTCTACCATTAACATATTGGAAAGAAATGAATAAACTAGGCTTATTTAGACCCAATATGGGGTAAAAAGTTTCTTTCAGTCGGCTCCATCCCCTCAACCAATACCAGTCATATCCAAGCCTTTTCAATGCCAAGGCAAAGGGATTGCTGCATAGCCTGCATTATTGGTAGTACAAGAGCAAAAGCTTGTACAGTATCCAGCAGTACAAACAGATTTGACAAGAAGTTCCACCATAACATGATATCAATAATTCACAATTGCAGAGGAGACAACCCCATGTGTTGATGCCAGTGTCGGCAGAGTATGGTTTGTATGAAATACAATTTTGCTAAACATAGAAATATAAACAGTCAAATACAACTAACACTACTGGAAACTAGATTTTCCAATAGGGAAGACAAGAAGTGGGTACACTAGACTATGATGGGGAATACTATCAAGCATCCGATACCGCTGGGTAAGGTGGTTATTACACCAAAATTTGTCGGTAAACTATATACAGAGGATATTACAGGGTTAGAACACTTTAATCAAATTATCCTAAATGACTTGGTTATATACTTTTCCATCTATTCCAACTCTTCATCGGATGCCACCTCCTCTTCCAGTTCAAATGCATCAACCTCTGCAAAGTAAGCTCTCTGCCTGTCAATGAAATCTTGGGGCAAGTCATTCTTGGAAGCATTTACCTTAGCCTTCTCTATTCGTTTTTTCTGCGGTGACATCATAGACCACCAATAAGCTTGGCTTAATCACATTATCTTTAAGGACACATATGCTTATGGGCGGAAAAAGGTTTCAAAGAGACAAAAGCACAATATGACTTGATGCAAAAGCAAAGAGCACTATATAATAACTCATCCTATTGATAAAACTAAAGCAAAAAAGCAATTTGCAGATTAAAAACGTGGTACGATATTGCTGTTTGCTTCCTAAAAGCATGCTTCATCCAGTTTCTAAGGCAAATTCCATTCTACAGCCGTGTGCAAAAAGGAAGATGGTCTAAAAACACCATAGAATACTGGCCCAATTCCAGTAGAAAAAAGATGACAAGTTAACATTGCGCAGACTAATAAACATTCCTGACAAGATAACGCTTTAACAACTAAAAGAATTTAGTCAACTTAGAGTGAAATTGATTCCATGAAGTGAAAAGGGGAATACTCCATTGATGCAGCATGTATTAATAACGAGTTAAAAGGCAAAGAACAATCATTTAAAGAAGCCGAGTATGCTCTAGGACGGAAGGATTCGAGCCCCCCAATAGTGGGACCCAACTGCCAGTAATTTAGAGTTAACAACTGTTGATGCTAAAAATGTGGCCTGAAATTCCCAACTTGGCACAATAGAAGCAGCCATGAAAAGGGAAAGCAGTTACAGATATGCATCATTGATCAACACTTTTAACCAAATTATGGTGTTTCATATACAAATCTGAAATCTTTAAAAGATCGAGAGTTCTTTAAAAGATTACAAAAACTGTCTTAATGATGACCCAAAAATCCCAAACAAAAGATGAATAGCAGGATTATCCATTCAATACAAATAAAATTAAGAAACTAGGAGAGTTTTGAAACAAACCGTTTTACGTGGCAATGGGCATGATTTGGAGAGACCGATATCACCATGTCCATCCTTTTTTTCACTATAGTAAAGACAAGGAGAAACAGCGTTAATAAAGGTGGTAAACAAGGGAAAATAATGAATGGGGAGATCATTGTAATCTGAGCAAACATTAAGCAAAAAGCTCTTCTGAATTAGTGATAACAGAGAACAAGTATAGTAGTGAATATTGAAAACAGAAGTACAAAAAGAAACCAAGTAAAGTAAGATTAAAAATTTGAATAGACAAGATCATAATTTTCAATACTTAAATATGACATGCTATCACGACATACAATATTTCAAAGACCTTAAGCTTTGATGTCCCAAGTTTTGTGTTCAAAAGTCATTTTCTGAGTGTTTAAAAAAAACTTGGCTTAGAAAATATCATGACTTTAATTGGAAACTGATGTAAAAAAAAAAAGAGGCCTGTAAACAAAACTGTTTTAAAAGGGAAGAACTATCTTTTGGTCTAATCAGCCACCATCTCCTTGAAAACTCATTTTATGAAAGAAAAGGAAGATAAATGAAATTGGATACAAAAGGAGCACTAGGTTAACTAATTTAGCAATTATTTTAGGCCTTTTTCTTTCTGCTGTCTAATATCAAAACATACATTCAAGTTTCTTTAAATACCCAAAAAGCCCAAACATGCACACACCTGAGGAAATTTGATACATTTGATTGATCAAATTTTTGAAGTCCTTACCGTAGAGTTGTCACTTAGAACCTCATCATCTACAGAGTTGGGAGTGAATGCTGAACATCACTCCCATCCTTTATCTAATGTATATAACTACTTACAACAACGGAAAACACCATTTTGACTGCATCATGACTACCATACCATGACATTGATAATCAATTTACTTCTTCTTTCAAACACGTTAAGTATCCTTAGCCTTCTAAAGTAATCAAAAGACTAATTGTTATCCAAGGAACAAATACCAAACCAACAAGAAACACACAAACTGATTGGAAGAAAACCACCTTAAGTCCGGCATCCTCGTTTCAAGAGACCAACTCAAAGGCTCAGCAATTTCCTTCCCTTTACTCTTCCTTTTATCTGCAGTATTTCTCCTGCTGTAAACCGTGCAAGGCTCAAAAGCCACAGAATCAGCAGTACCTAAAATCAGAACCATAATGTACAATAAATTAGACCCAAAATACATGCTCAATCCAGAAATCAAAGGACCAAAAAAATGGTTGAGGAAACACAGATTACCAACTTCATATAATTTCCACACCATAGAGTGTATTTCAATTATGATACCTAAACAATTGAGTAGTTCCATAGCTTGAAAAAACATTGATCGGATTTGCACCATTACTATCTAGTGTCTAGACAACCATATTCAATCAATGCTCTAGAGGTTGCATTGAAAATGAAGTAAAGAAATCATTCAGCGAAACTACTAGAAACAGAATTAACAAAATTTAACATTAACTCAAATTCATAGAAATATTGTAGAAGAAATTCTATATAGCTTGAACTGAGAATAAAGTTAAAACCCAAATTGAAGAAATAAAAACCCTAGACAACCCAGAACACCGAAAACAAAACCCCTACTAAGAAATCTAATCAAAACCCAGAAAAAAAGAGTCCAAAAACCCATCAAATTACCCGAAACAGAAGGCATTTTGTGCAACGGAGACAGCATGGGGCTAAGGTTTGCCTTGTTACTCTGACTTTTCCCCTTCTTCTTCTCCTTCTTCTTCCTTTTCTTGTTACTGTCATTCTCATTGGTGGTGGACTCAACGGCAGTAAACTTGGAGTTAGAATTAATATCACTATTGGGTTTGATGAGAGGAGATTTGAGATCCAAAGCGAGTGAAGATTTGGTTGGGGGTTTGATTAAAGAAGAAGAAGAAGACTGTGAAGAAGGCAAAGATGCAGGGATTAAATTGGTGACCTCAGTGAAGGGTCTTCTTTTGCTGGCTTTGCTTCTCGGTTTTGTTGTCGATGGTTTTGTTTCTTCCATATTTTCTGTTTGTTTCTTGAGAATTCTGAGCTTTTGAGAGTGCCAAGTGAGGAGGAAGCTGGTTTTGGTGGTTGGCGGGAAAATCCTGGTTTTCCTCTTCCTTTTATATGTACCTCTATTGGGCCATGAAAATGGACGAATCTAGAAATGGAGGGAATTGACGGGAAATTGGGTCAGCCCAAGATTTAATAAATGGGCTACAAATTGTTCTAATTCATATTATTGGGCTTGATCCAATAAAAGGTCTACAAAGCCCAAGTGTATAAATTGTTTTCTAATTATTCTTCTGTTTTTAAATATTTGTCTTTTTTATTTCTATGTAAATTAAGAGAAAAAATTTTAGTCTTGATGTATTTTATATTGAAATTTGAAAAAAATTATACAATACAAATGTTTAATAATTTTCATATAAATAGTAAAAAAAATTATGAAAAATAAATTTATAGTATAAAAAAGTAAAAATATTTAACTATCTAAAAAAGAAAAAAACGATTTAATATTGTGATATGTAAAAATAAAATAAATAACCAAAAGGGACAGAGAGAGTATGCGGTTCGATATTAGCAAGACGGATAAGGAAGAAAAATAAATATTCTCATCTATAATGTTATAAATTAAGGTAAAAATTGATCGATAATTTTATCTTTAAGCGAGAAATATTTATCATAGATAAATTTCTCCGACGCTCTTTGTTGTTATCTCGTTGTTTGATAATAAAAGCCTTTTTTTCACAACACTTTAAGCAATTTTAAATTCAAATATTATATATTACTCTTCGTCAACATTAATCTTGAAATTACTTTAAATTTACACTGAGTTTATATCATTTTTTAAAACAGAAAAATTTATTAAAAATACATTTCCTCAATACCCTTTTTCGTCTTCTCTCATTATTTGATAATAAAAAAAAATTTTAAAATATTTTAAATAATTTTGAATTCAAATATTACAACTAACTCTTTGTTAAATAGAGTAATCAATCTATCCTAAACTTTATATAAAAGCAGAACCTTTTTAAAAGAAATTGACACCTATTTATAACTTTTTGCTTTATAAATTTGCCTTTGTAGTGTAAGAAACCATAAAACATCGAAAGAAAAATATTTCCGTGGAAAGAATAACAATTCTCATTCAAATTAAAAATGAATATCACTGGTAAAAAGTATTTATATACAAGAAAATAAGAGGAAAAGTAAAGCTTTTATAAAAGGAGGAAAAATAAATTGACCAAAAAAAACTCCCAACAACCAACAAACTTTTCACCTATAGTAAAATTGTAAAAATAAAATAAAATAATACAATACATGCTTCTATTTACTAGAAGTCATGTGAGTTTCACGCATCTACTTCTTTTTATTTAGTTTCATAAACCAAGTCTTTATTTTTTACTTCTAGACACTATATCTATTGCCTTCATTTAGATTGATACTCCCCCTATAGATGAATGTTCATGGTGGAGCATGAATGCCATGAACATTCATGGTGGAGCATGAATGCTTTTGTTAACAAATCTGCAATTTGTGACTCAGTAGAAATATACATGGGTTCAATCAATCATTCCAACACCTTTTCCTTGATAAAATGACAATCCATTTCCATATGTTTTATGCACTCATGAAACATTGGATTGTAACTTATATGAATTGCAGATTGGTTATCACAATAAAGTTTGACTGCTGCATTTTGTTTAATCCCTAAATCAGATAATAAGTAATTTAGCCATATAATTTCACAGCAACTAGTAACCATTGACTTGTACTCAACCTCAATTGAGCTACAAGCAACCACTGATTGCCTTTTGGATTTCCAACTAATTAATGAATCTATTAAAAACATGCAATACCTTGTAATTGATTTCTTGTATCAGCACAACCAGCCCTATCATTGTCTGAATAAATTGATATGCTTAAATTTGAATCTTCCTTCATGAGTATCCCTTGTCTTGGAGCTGACTTAAGATACTTCAACACTCTATAAACTACATACATATGTCCTTGCTTTGGTTTTTCCATAAACTAGGACAAAACCTAAAAAGTATAGGAAATATCAAGTTTTCTGAAATGTTAAGTATAATAGTTTGCCTACCAGCTGCCTATATCTTGTTGGATTATCAACCTCTTTTCCATCAACATCCTTTCTAAGCTTATGACTATAGTCTATGGGAGTAGTGACTGGTTTAATACCAAGCATGTCATATTCATCTAAAAGATCTAGGGTACATTTTTTCTGACAAATATAAATGCCTTCTGAAGCCCTAGCAATCTCGAGTCCTAAGAAATACTTCATTATTCCTAGTCTCTCACCTTGAATTATGAACTTAGATAATTTCTAACTTGATCTGTCAATTGAGCATTATTATTGGCAATTATTGCTAGGATTCGACTTCATACTCAAATATGAAAATAATTAATAAATTAAATATAATGTAATAGAATAATAAACTAGCATTTAATCAGAGAAACAAAGAATCTTATAGAACCAATATTTATGTTTTTTATGTAAATTTAATTAATTATGAACATTTATAAGTTTAAAAGTTACATACCTTGTTCTAGATATTGTAATTAATAGCTAATTAAATCAATATCTTTGCTTTTTCACCTTTATGATATGTCAAATCTTCAGCCGCCCAAGTGTTGGGCCTTTAACAGTAATCTACACAGTGACCAAATAAGACCTTATCAAAGGTGAGATTTTTTACTTGTGTTAGTAAATTTTGTTTATAAAATAAAAAGACCAAAAATCCTTACCGAATCTTATTTTTGTCAAACAAAGAAAACTACTTTTTCTTTTCTTATTTTATGAAATGATTGAGAAGTGGCTAGGAGTTTAGAGTTTTAGTTTGCTAACATAACATATTTATATAGCTAAACTAAGTTGTAACCCTAGATACAACAGTTGTATTTTAATTTAATTAACTCTTTATGACTTAATTAATTTTTCACTTTATTTTGGTCTTTTCAATTAAGTCTAACTTAATTAATTATCCTTCTTTAATCCCAATCATTTCACTTAATATGTGTGACCCATTAGACTTATAACATGCTGGCAATAAATATAAATCTTAATGAAATATCAATTTGATAATTGATTTATATTTATAGATCATGAACAATATCTAGCAATATATTATGACCACTAAAATGTTAGAGAGTCAATTAAAGAATTTAACAAAAGCCCTTCAGGGATAAGCCTCTCAGTGCAATATGATCCTTTCATCAAATATTTCGGATATGTCATATAACGTGACTCAGTGTCTACTTATAACATTTCATATTAGTTATCATAATTCATGACTAATCTTATAAATTTAGGAAACCAACTTTCCTCAAATTCATCATGTTTTGGCTAAAAACTTTATACAAGTTAATCAATAATTGAGAACAAGTAAGATACATCCTCTCATATCATTTAGGGTGATGAGTCCTCTCTTGACTACTCATTCACCTTCGTATGCTTTATGGCATATCTAAAAACACCCTATTTAAGCATCTAGTTACCTATAGACTTGTAGAGATAAAATCAAAGCATGTCATTCCTCATACAAGATGACATAATGTCTTAAGTTTATGGACTAGTTGCACAACTATCACACAAGATATATTCCATAAACACTTGAGTGAAATATCAAATGGAGTTCTCATAATGAGTCATATTCAGTGAATTTGTCTTTTAACAAACACTTACATGTTATCCTCAAGTATCTCATATACTTCAATCTATGACATCGATTTCTTACTTCCTAAGTATAAAGGTTTAACATGTACCAGTATTTGAGTATTGTCAATACCTTGTCTTGATAATACAATGACCATGAACGATTTTAGGAATATGGCTTTAATGTATAGTAATCTCATAATTGTAACAACTTTAC